CCTCGTTGAGGACAGACTTAGCAGGAGGAAGTGAACTCCTCGTCTGCTACTTAACAAGATCACCACGCAACCAATCCACAGTAATTTCTTCAGCAAGGAGGGGCAGTCAGACAAGGAAAGTTCTTGATTAAGCCTCATTTGGGGAAATGAAACCGGCCCATCATTTTATAGTGTCTCTGTGTGCCAACGCCACGGTGCCCGCAGACAAAGGCAAAAAGGGCCGGTGGCTCTGGCAAGCCCTTTTGTTGCCATCCTAATGTGCCCTGAGGGGGCTGCGCCGGCCCCGGGGCGGAATGCCTCACCCCTCTCCCCAGCCCACTTAGTGAATCACCGCTTGTAAAGCATTCCTACAGTTTTTTACACGAATAAAATAAAAATTAAGTTTCCTGGGCGTACATGGTTTATCACAGTAAGTCTGTGTTAATATTTCCTAATCATAGTGACCTCAGCCTGCCAGAATGCACAGGCCCCTAATCCTCGCTGTAATGTTTTCTCATTAGCTACGCAGCATAGCCACACCAGTGGCGGCGACCATGCACCGCCTCAGGCACCACTGGAATTAATTACTAGAAGAAACACTGCTGTTTTGAATTGTCATCTTGAATTTATCACTTGCCACTTAATGTAACTCATCTGACCTAATACCTCCATGGTGTCACCAGGGGCCTTGGCACGGGCTTCACCAGGGTAATAGCAGGGGGTTCTGTATGCCTAATGTGGCTGAGACGCCAAACACAGCTGCTGGAGGCCTGGTTAAAATCCTACCCTGGAGGCAAAGCGTGCTAACAATGCCCCTAGCAAATTGCAGATTACCCACGCGTCGTGTTCTCTCTGAAGCTGAGAGTGATTCAAAGGTAGGCCCGGTACATCTCATTTCTGCCGCTTGGAGAAGATAATCTTTCATTTCTTTGGATGTAACAGCCTTCGCCGTTTGTTCCTCTCGTGCTGTTTTTGACTGTAATGAAACCGGCTATTCACGTAAGGTAGGGAGAGTGGCTCTGGAGGCGCAGCAACTGCTAGGTCTCGGGCCCTTGCTGATATATTCTGAAGAAATTGCTCATTAAATGACTCACGCCAAGAAGGGCCATTTCACCATAGGTTATGTTTCCCTGGGAAAAGGAACCCAACTTCTAGCCCACGCTGTACTTTCACAGGGTTGCAGTGGACCTTGTACTTGCGAGAGGTGCTCTGCGTTAGCCGTTTAAAAATGCACATGTAATAAGGAGTTAATGATTTGTTTGGGTTCGTTAAAGCCTCAGAAATTGTTTCAGTATGAAAATAGCTTCTGCACATGCTCTAAACAAGAGTCCTTGAGATCAAAATTTTCCATTTGTAAGAATCACATACTTAAAACCAGCGTTTTTCATTTCCTGCCCCTTTTGGATTTACCTAATGCCATTATTTCTATTCGAAAGTTAGTCTTCCAGTTCTGCTATAGCTTTTATTTCAAAATATGACACGTGCATGTATGTATGTGGATGTACGCACATACATGCATACAAAAGCTAGCCCCTAGGGGACCTGGATGGCTCAGTTGGTTAAGCGACCGACTTCGGCTCAGGTCATGATCTCACGGTCTGTGGGTTCGAGCCCCCCGTCGGGCTCTGTGCTGACAGCTCAGAGCCTGGAGCCTCCTTCAGATTCTGGTCTCCCACACTCTCTGCCCCTCCCCCACTCACTCTCTGTCTCTGTTTCTCAAAATAAAATTAAGATATTAAAAAAAAAAAGCTAGCCCCTAGAAGCTTACAGACATAATCACATAATACCATAATGTAACACCAAAGCACGAAAATCCTACCGATGAAATAATAAGTAAAACAGATTTACTCTGATAATGACAGTTCCTAGCCTATTTCATAGACAAAAACATTTCCTTTGGTTATCACACTCTACACTATACATAGTAAACTTTGGGAGATGTATAATGCAATATAAACATTAATAGTTACACAATTGTGTTGTTTTAGAAAGACTATTTATAGAGAAAATACAAAATGCCTCCCTAAAGTATACTTAGACCTAAGCCACCATAATCTTCCTGCTCATACAGCAGGAAATCTAATACACCAGCTCAATAAACCTGTAGGAAACAAAGGTTTTATGTAGCATTAAGTGTCACAATATTAAAATGCCCACATTACTTTCAATTGCTCTTATAAGCTTCTTTTTAACAATCCAGAAAGTTGAGTGCCATTATGAGAACATTGTCCTACATAGTAAAGGATAGGGTATGCAACACAAAAACCTCATGCCTTTACCTGTGTGGATCTGCGATTAATACCACGGGTGCTTTTACCCAAGGGTCTCCCTCCCTCCAACACGCCTGTCTGACACGTTTTGGGGTCATCAGGGTATGTTCTGTCAAAGGTGACAGAACATTTAAAGGGGTGTCAAAAAGCTGTGACGGCAATGGCAGCTCAGCTTGGCCACATAACCTCTTTTGGAGTCGATTCCCTTTCCATAGTGTAAATGTAGCAATGTACACTATGAGCTATTGAGGCTATAATTAGACGATAAAGCTCTTTCAAAATACCAAGTCCTTCATTCCATGAATGCTCATTACAAGTGGTAATGTAGCAACAGCAAAGATCACCACCCCCAGAAGTATACGTTTTTTCCAAACAGGGACAGTTGGCTTTTGTGAGTTCTGCAGAGCATCTAGCACTCTGTCGCTGCTAATTAATACCTAATGACAATGATGAACCACTGGTGATATTCAGCTAACTAATTGGGGTCTAATAGTATCTCAGAAAGTTTCAACTTAATGGCCATTAAAATAGAATATCTTCTATTGCTATTGCACCTGCCAACTCCCCAAACTTTCTACAAACAGAAATTCATTAACCAAAGTTCTTTAATGAAATATTAATGGTACAAAAGTACTTTTTGAAGAGTTAAGAAATGCCCAGGGTCAATAAACGAATAGTTCCTTTTAAGCCAAACTTTCCCCCTTTGTGTTGCTTGGGCAAGTTCAGGCAACAGAGCCTGACAGTCCTGCACTGGGATATGTGGGTCTGACTTCACCAGGCTGTCATTTGCATGTCTTAGTGTAAGGGTGGACTGAAGGTATTTTCAATAAGGACACGGCCGCTCAGGGTTACGGAAACTATTGGGCTATAGAGACTTCATGATATTCACACATAAGGTAGCATACCATGGTATAACACACTTCTAGAACACTGGGGTAGTTTGCATGCAGGTGATGGCAAAAACCCACCCCTCCCCTCCCCTCACCCTGTGCAGATGGTCTAAGTACTGCAGCCTACAGGGAGCTCTGTGGCCCGTATCTTACAGAAAACCCCGTGAGCTAGACTGTTTCTCCCCACCTTTCTAGAATATCCAACTTGTTAACGTTCACGGTCCCACAGCCACACAAACTCTTTCCAGGCAGGCCTCAGTGCGGAAGCTCTGTGAAATCTTTTGCTGATCTTCAGATATTTTTAAGTGACTTAATATGAAATATTTTAAAATCCTGACTGTTAGCACTAAAAATGTACCAGTGCATTCTGGGAATCAATGGCATTTAGCGCTGCTGCCTTGTAAAAAACCAAATCCTAAATGGTTCATCCTAATGTTATTGGCAGATGTGATTTTATACTTTTAAACTCCTTGGAGTTGCTGGAAAGGAAAAGAGAACATATAGATAGGCGTATGCAGATGAAATGACATCATAAAATACCCAACTGTAAAGCAAGGGGACTCTTTGTGACTGGATTACTTGTTATTGAAGGAGGGACTTGGAGCGAAGGAGAAAGCGCATCATCTACAACTGAATGTTTTCAATTACTTTTTTATCGTGTTCGGTCATTCTCACCACAACACACACATCAGGACGAAAGGTTATTTTACCTTCTGAGGGAAGGACACGCACATGCAGCATTTACTTTGCAAACGGAGACCCTGTTGCCACTCACTGCTCTGCTGAAATACAGCAAATCTATCGTAGTACCTGCACGGTCACCAATATGTTGCTTTTCTGTCACATTACTCCCTTTCATCATGACATCCAATTTCATCACAATTAATTCCATTCGCCACATAGTCCACGACCAGCATACTCCGAGGCAACCTCATCACATTGGTATTTAACACCAAATATACTCCTTTTTTTTTTTTTTTTTTTTTTTACTGGAGTGGAAATGCTATAACGGAAGATGGTACCCTTTTAGTTTCTCTTTTTTTAATTTCAAAACAATATTAAAATTCCTATATTATTATAGTTTAAGGACCAAAGACAAAGAAAACATGCCTTGGGTGGAAACTACCACCACAATGCAAATAAATTCAACGTAACTAACTTTCAACTGGAACTGTTCAGGGCAGGAAGTAGGCACTGAAGGACACGAGCTCAGGACAGGCACGGAGAAAAGCTGCTCCACTGAGCAAGGGCTCCTCTGCGTGAAGATCCTTGGACATATATCTGCCTCGTTATCGGTCTCTGAGGAAGAGCATATAGATGCACCCCCCCCCCAACCTCCCACCCTGCCCTTTGACTCACTCATAATATCCTATTTGGATCTAGGAAGAGGGAAATTTCATAAAATATTTTTCGCCACCCGGAAAACAATCTACCTAAACGCAAATTCCTAGTGACTGTGAGGCTGGGCCCATCGCAGCCATTGTCATGCAAGCACAGTTGTAAGTAATAATGTGGCCTTTAATGACGGAATGATGGACCTGCCAAGCACTTGCTCCCGCCGTAGCCCGCCTGCATTTTCCTGCTGGAGAGCCCAGAGATGCCCATCTGGGAGTTATTAACATAGCCTCGTCAATTCAGAACCGACTTTAACATAATCCATATTTGTTGGAGAAAGTCCAACATCAGCTTGAGAACAGCAGTCACGTGCCTCAATGACACATTTCAAACAGCACACACGGAGCATGCTTGGGCAGCTAAGCAATTCAGAAATGCAAATAGCTGAAGCCCTCTCCTGACTAGATAAAAAAGGACAAATCCTTTTTGGCAAAAAAACTGGATGTCCTCTTAATGTCACAGGGAGACAACCAAACCAAGGGAAGGTACAAGTTCCAGAGGCATCAGTTCGGGTTTGGGGAGTGGCCAGGAAGGTATCTCTTGTGGTTTATTCCAATCAGGTTGGTGCAATCAATCTCAAGTCGAATCTTGGACTTCAGCTGTTGTCAGGCAGAACTGTTTGTCTGGGATGCCGGAATACAGATGCTTTTAAACCAACGCTGCCTTGTTGACATATGTATAAGCACAAACCTCCCCCTTTAAAAAAAACACACAAAGAGCTATGGGTTCCATTTTCAACATCATCTTGCTTTTTATTCTGAATGGGTTATCTGCTATAAACACATCCCTGGAAGAAGCTGGATGGGCTATGCCCCTAAATATGAGTCCTTGGGAAATTAAATTATATCAAAATGTCATGGAAGGGCTCTGGAAGTTATCTCCAAACTAGGCACGGGTCTTTGTGGGTATAGAACACCATCCCCACCCCTCATACTTTTTCAATGACTTTAACATGCTGAAAATACAGTTCATCAACCACATTCCTTTGGTTGATAGATATTATTTGTGGTGTCTATGCTTTACAAGGGAAATAAATTAAGGAGTAAGAAGGGGGAAAGCATTTCTTTGAGGCCACCACCCATTTCTATTGATGTGGAATTGGGTGAAACTGTCATAAAACCCTATTTTTAGAATATGTAAATCAAAGCCAAATGCAGACTCTTCCTTCAAATATTTAAGTAGATTCACATGGCTGGGACACTAGATAGTAGTTTTGTACCAGTACAACATTTTCTGCATTTGATAATTATGTTGTGGTCGTATGAAAGGATGCTCTTGCTCTTGCAAGATACATGTTGAAGTATTTAGGAATAAAGGGTTATGATATTTGCAACATTCTCTTGGAGAACTCAACAAGAAACATAATAAGAATGAATATATATACCCTGAAAGAGCAAACAAACATGGCAAAATGTACACATAGTGAACCTGGTTGAAGGGTCTGGGTGTATTCTGTATATCATTTTGGCAACTTCTTGGTAGTTGTGAAATTTTTCAAAATGTTGGAAATAAAATGAACTAGACTCACAGATACTATTCTGGAATTTAAAATAATAGAATTCACTGTTTTTGAAACGTTCTCTCATTTACTATTCTTTGTTTAATAATTCTATTTTGTATAAAGGTAGAATGTCCTGGAAGGAGAGGGAGCTAGAGATTAAGAAAAACTAAGGGGGCACTACTCTACTGAGGGATAGGAGAGTGAGGGGAAGAGACACAAAAAATGAAAGGAGTAAGATAGGAGGGAAGAGAGTTTTGATAAAAGGAGAAAGCACACCTTGGTGAGGTTCTGAGCCTATCAGGAGCAGCCAGGGACAATGGCTTGAGGCTGGGAAGTAGAGGGCAGGGGTCTTTGGACAAAGGTCTTACCTGCTGGGGAGACAGAATGCAAAGCTCCCATTCTTCCCCTCCCAGCAGAAGAGGATTGGGCAGCCTCGTCGCTAAGAGCAGCATGACCTTCCCTCCTCCGGAGTGGAATGCAGCCACGAGGCACCTGGAGGCTAGTCTGAGCCTTGTGCCACAGAGCTGGACATAGGCAGTGCCACAAAATGTGTGTGCCCCATACCCCGCCCTGGTGTAGAAACCCATCAGGTCCTGGGACCTAAAAGGTAGGGCTGGGTATGGGGGGAAGGTGATCTTTAGACCGTTGACATGTCTCTTTTGCCACATGACTTTTGATATGTGGTTTGGGGAAGATAGAAAGTATAAAATAGTCAATCAGTTGCCTTCATCAGAGTAGCTGTGGTTTTGAATTCACCCCTGTGGGCTGCAGAAAACCCTGGTGGTGAAAGAGCTCACTACAATTGTTCAGCCTAGGTTGGGAACCAAGATATGCCCAGAAAAAGTGTCCATGATAGTGAATAGCCATCAGAGCAGCAGGAGGTACAGATATAAAAACAAGGGGAAAGAAAAGGGTCGGGGGAGATGGAGAAAAAAGCGGTCAAGTGGTCTGATGTGTCAGAGTGATGCATCCTAGTTATGGGTCACAGAATTCTAATTATGGCTGTACCCAACTGGTGGGCCACTCCAAGTAGCCACCCCAGTGAGGAGCGGCTTCAGGGATCTCTCTTGCCTCTGAATTCTGGCAGGGGGAGCCCTCTATGGTTGGCTCCGCCCAGAGTCCAGAAATTCCCATGGACTGATCCCAACAAAGCCAAGGGAACCAAAGTCTTTCTTTGGTCTTGAAATAAGTTGGAGCAGGAAGCAGTTTAAAGAAGTTGCTCGCTTTTGTCTTGCTCATCCTATCCTCCAAGAGTTACTCCATAGTTTAGAGCAACACTATTTGTCCCCAGGGAAGGAAAGGGCCTCAAACAGCTTCAAAATTCACTGCCGAGGTCAACTAACCAGTGCCAAACAAAAGACCCCGGGAGTTCATAGACCCACACGCAGAGAAACACTGGGTCTGTGTCTCCTTGTAGCTCACCCTGGTCCTCGCTTTCAGCGTCATGGTGTCTTTGTGTGACCATCTTCTGGTTTTCTGCTCCCCTTGCTGTACATTCATTTAACCTGATCTTCCTTATAGAGAAAGATTAGGGGGTGGAGAGTAGAATTTGTTCTGGGCCCTGCACTGTCTTGGAGATGGCCCCGGGCAGAGAGGCACTGGGGGTTCAGAGCTAGTCTGTTCAGGGATCCGTCCCAGAGCTGTGTCATCTGTGGTTTTCTCTCATGGAGTTCAGGACATTTGGCTTCTTTGATGCAGTGGTATTTTGCACAGAGCATTCAGTAGGATGGAGACAGTGAAGTTTCCATGTGGGCTCTGAGGAAAATGCCAAGTGACTGATATAAAAGCTTAGTCTGAGAATTGACCATAGCACATTAAAAGTTTATCCTAGGGAAATCATGTTTGTTCTTTTAAATGGGACAACTCTTTGGCCAAAAGCAGCAAATGAAGTGCCTGTTCCTTCCCATGATGGGAAGGGTTGCTCAGTTCACACTGTGAGGCAAATGTATGTAGAATATTACCGATTCAGGCTATATTGCTGCCTCATTAGGGTTATTTGGAATTTTGTTTAAAACCTCAATTTCTCACAAAAACATAACAGAAGGGGAAATACGGTTGCCTGAAGTAAGGAGGGACATCAATGCCACGACTCCACCACATGCCAAGGGTTCTGGGGTCCCACATCCTTCATGCTCCTCTCCCACACTTTGTCCTGGCTGCACTTCCCTTCATGGTCCTGTGGAAGACTTATTCCTACAGACATCTACTGGAGCCTGAGCCAGCAGTGTTTGTACTTTTAGATCGGCAGTGTTGAAATGAAACCTACATCTAAGAGACCAACATACCAGGAGACATCTTAGTTCCCATCTACTTAACCATCGAACCTGGAGTCATAAGAGAATTATACACAGGGAAGTGGAGACCTTGGAATGTTAGAAAAGATCTAGAATATGGAATTCTGTCTAGCAGACCAAAGCAATCTGGATAACGCAGAAAGTTCTACAAGGCAGTGAAAATGAACATCGTATATTTACTCTTGGGATGTGTCCATTGCTCGTTTTCAGCCCCACAGAGCAACACCCTGGCACGCCTCCCCACAGGCCACAGAGTCATTATACTGAGCCACATCTGAGAACTCAGAGTGCAATTTGTCAGCCACACTTTGGAACAAACCAGAGTGTCTTGACACCCTTGAGGTGGTAGGTATCTGAGGAAGTCAGATAAAGACTATGTAAGGGGAAATTTACTGTAATATTTAAGATAGTTCTGTTTTAGTGGCTTATGATCCCTCCAAATATAACAACAGGGTGACATAGTCCAAAGAAGCGAGAACTCAGTTTTTAAGGCATCGCTCTGCTCCTGCTTCTTCAAGGATGTGGCCTCAACTCTCCACTGCTTGCAATAACCAATTCCCTCACTGTATTGAGGAGCTGTGATCCACGGCTCGTCTAGCTCTGCTGTCTTCCCTCAGGACTACGGCCACACCAAATGGCAGGGAGATTCCACTACCACTCTATAGTTATTGAATCTGTTTCTTTTCTCTGTCCTCTCATTGGAACAGAGGGCAGCCTCTGCTCCTGGCTTCTGCCTATAGTGGGAGACAGCCAAACCCTTGTGTAAGAGAGATGACTAGTGTCCTGTATAAAACAAAATAGACCAGGTCAGTGACCCGAACACGTTAGCCACAGCAGAATCCTCTGGAAGACTTGTTAGCCCCCAGGTTGTTGGGCATTGCCCCAGAGTTTCTAATTCAGTAGGTCTAGGGTGGTGCTGAGAATGTGGATTTCTAGCAGACCCCCTGGTGGTACCGATGGTGATGGTCTGGGTACTGCACTTCAAAAAATAGGTTACACGGCAGTAACAAATGACCCCCTAATTTCAGGGGTATTTCCCACTCATGTCTCATGTCTGTCATAGGCCAGTTACAGCTCTGTTCTGTATCATCTTCCCTCCGGATCCAGTGTAGGGATGGTGTCCGTCCCACAGCAGAGGGCAAAGGACATGGTAAACTACCGGTTAGCTCTTAAAGCTTTGGCTTATAGTTCAGTGGCTGAATTAAATCACACAGCCCAATTTGGTATCAGTGGCAAGTGAGGGGCAATTTTTTGTGAATAATTACACAGTTTGTCACATCCTCCAATATCAGCTGTCTCCTTCTTCATGGTCAACGAGATTACATTTTGACAACACAAATGGCAGCCCTCAATAAAGACTGAATTTCTCAGATTGTCCTCCAGCTAGGTATTGGTTCATACCAATTAGAGCCAATGGGATGTAAGTAGACTGTGGTGTAATCACTCCACAGTTATCCTAAAAGGATAACACATATGTGTTCTTTCTCTCTCTCTCTCTCTCTCTTTCTCTCTCTCTGTCTCTCTCTCGTGTGTGTGTGTGTGTGTGTGTGTGTGTGTGTGTGTGTGTGTGTGTGTTTCATTCCTTTCTCCATTCTCTTGCCTACAATGGCCATGCTGACATTTTGGAGCACGAGGTCAATAGAAAAGATACTCTACAGCTGCCCCAGACCACCTACCCACACTTCGAGATGAGAGAGAAATAAATTGCTATCTTGTTGAAAGCACTGTTATCTTAGATGTTGTCACTCGCATCTGAATATAATCACAACTAATGCACCCTCAGAAAGGCTTTCTTTTGAAGCGCGCTCACTTCTGTCCGTAGCTCCTTGTGTTCCACTCATCCCTCAGCTATTTCCTGAGCCTCTGAGCTTCTTTCTTTCCTCCACATCCATTTCCCTCACCCTTAGCAATGTGGCGAGGATGTCTACAGAAGGGGGTCAACTACAGCTTCATTTCTTCTAGGAACATAGACTGACTATAGAATCTGAGCAGGGGAAAGTGACAATGAAAAGGGAAAGCTTGTCTGGCTAGAAGTTTCCTAAGGAACTTCCAAAGCAGCCTTCATCATGTAGCAACTCAGATGACAATGTTCCTCTTTACTGACAAACCTCGCCTGCGATTTAGGAGCATTTCCGACATCTGGGTTTACGTGATCTGCACGCCCTGCGTTGCCTCATCTGACCACAGGTAGAAGTGATGAGACGTAAATGTTGAAAGATAATTGTTAGCATCCAGGTAGTCATGTCTCTCTCCTTATGTCCTCTACTTTCATTCTAAACTCCCCCCATCCCTGTCTTCTCTGCACTCTGGCAGCTTGTCGCCGCCCCGCCCCACCTGTTTCTGTCATCTGTACAAAGTCTACTTCTGCCCACATCTCCCCGCAGACAGAGCGTACAGCCTAAAGGAAAGAAGAGGTGTTAACCAAAGTCAAAAGGCTGACAAGGGAGAAAGAGAGGCATCAAGTGGGAGATGACCAGCCTCAGAGCTGAAAACCAGAGTTGTGCATGTTCAAGGCCTCACTGGGACACAGTAAAGAGCTTGAGAAGGTAATCTAGAATGTTCTATCAATGCACAGAAATGTTACCACTTTAGTTATACAAACATGGTTTGAAATTATACATTTATGTATTTTCAGGAGAATTTCTCTTCTGATGGAGAACTACCTGTCGGGGCATTTCACATGCAGATTATTGAACTAGACACTGCAAGTCATCTAATAAAACAGAATGTCCCAAGGGGACAATAGTTTGATTTTTAAAAATATATTTAAAATATATATAAAATAAAATATATTTTAGAAATATAAATTTAGAAATTTAATTAAAATAAAATAATTAAAATAAAAATACATTTTATATTTTAGAAATATAAATTTAGAAATTTATTATTATATTATTTATTATTATTATATTTCTAAAAATCAAACAAACAAAACCCAACTTTCATTGTCAAATAGGTTTGAGATGCACTGCATACAATGTTTTCCCAGAAATCCACAATGTATGTTGGCATATTAAAGGCTCTAGGGGCACCCGGGTGGCTCAGTCGGTTAAGCGTCCGACTTCAGCTCAGGTCATGATCTCAGGGTTCATGGGTTTGAGCCCCCCATTGGGCTCTGTGCTGACAGAGAGCTCAGAGCCTGGAGCCTGTTTCAGATTCTGTATCTCCCTCTCTCTCTGACCTTCCCCTGTTCACTCTCTCTCCCTCTCTCTCTCAGAAATAAATAAAACATTAAAAAAATTTTTTTAAAAAGGCTCTAAGAATTTCTGGAGCAATGAAGCCCATTTATTTCTTCACATGTATAGAACCAAACGTACTGAACTACAGAATCCTTCTTTTGAGTATAATATCTATTAATATCTTAGGGAACATTCCTTAGGACACAGTTTAAGAAACTGTTTTGAGAGAATATAAACTTTATGCGCTACGTGCTACGTTATTTTTCATAAAGGAGTTACCACAACCTGTACTCTTGTGAATATTCATAACCTATTGACATTTCAGTGGGACCACACGAGAATGAAACCGAACAAAGCAGTGCTCAAAATCACACGCCAGTGGCACACAACTCACAAGATTTGGCTTATGCCGTGTGTCCCAACCCCACCACTGTACTGCCAGAGAATAGTTTAAAATGAACCAACTGAAAAAGAGAACGAACCATGATTAATAGCTAATAATAAACTAACAAGGGAATACCTGTCTAGAAATGTCTATGTGTAGAAGAGACCGTGACAAGGAGGAATGCTTTGGATCAAATTATGCAAAAGGAAAACCACGGTGAGTTTGGGAGGATACGATTCACTTTAAGTAGGACATTAGCCTAGGGCTCCAGTGGCTCAGCCGCCTTCTCTGCCCAGAGGCAGCGGGAACTAGAAAGAGCTTAGGCTTTAGAGACCACTTATCCTCATAAAGCCCTGCATTTATTGCTATTACAACATTTCCCACAGTGCATTGTAATCATTAGTTTTTGGTGGTTTACCTGATTATACTGTGCGATCCCCAAGGACAAGTTTTATCTCTTACTGCTCTCCTGATCCCTATCTAGGCAGCCATACTAGGCACAGAGTAGGCATCCAGGAATATGCGTTGAATGAATATCTATGAGAATTCCGGCTGCGTTATTGTATGACGCTACTTCAGGTGGAACCTTGGTGAGTTAACGGGACTGAGAAGGGTTACAATCGCACAGATTATGTGCCCATGTAAATGGGGCAAAGGGAAGAAAGAAGCAGCAGCCAAAGTTTCACTGGTTGAGTAATAATGGTCTCTTCTCGATGGCGAGGCTGGGCTGCCGGTTGTCAAGAGTGGGTAGGAGACTTAGTTTTCATTCACAGGCTTTTCTTCACTCGGACTTTTATCTCATGATAATGTATTTCCTTTTCCAAAGTTAATAAATAGTATTTTATTATGTGTGTGGTTTCATTTTTTAAATATAATTTATTGTCAAATCGGCTAACATGCAGTGTATGCAGTGTGCTCTTGGTTTTGGGGGTAGATTCCCGTGGTTCAGCGCTTACATACAACACCCAGCGCTCATCCCAACAAGTGCCCTCCTCAGTGCCCATGAGTGACCACTGGAGTATGAGTTTCTAAATGCTGGCAATGATAGATTCCACTTTTAAAATTTTCCCCTCTGCTCACTAACCACCATCTAGCATTGGAATACAATTATTTGTTGGCTGAATGGCTTATGGCTGGAATAGTTAAGAAGCAAACCCAAACCGGTCCCTCCACAGAAGGACTCTCGAATCTGCTTTTCCAGATTCCTCACGCAGCACAACCCTGCACTAAAGTGTAGAAACTCATGCCATTTTCTGGACACCTCACGCATGCTCCTGCCGGCGTTCACATAAAATCTGCCTATAGAAACCCTCTCCCCTCCTTAGAGAGGGCCAGCTCAAAGGCCTGGTTTTTTCGTGAAGCCTCTCCTGAAATCCTCGTCAACATCAGAATTAATCCCTGTTTTTCTGTGCCTCAGCATACATTGCACCTTACTTACTATGCTTAATTAATGCATAA